ACTTCAGCTTCTTGTCCCCTTGGGATAGGTCAGGGACTGTGAGGTCCTGCAGCAGTCCCATGGCATTGGAAGAGGCATGTGAGGTGACAGGTATGTGATCAAATCAGAGGCCACAAAGAGGAGCTGGCTGTGAATGCTGGGATGAAGTCAGGTGTGCCTCCAGATGTGCTGGGCCTGCAGGAGGCACATGGCTGGGAAGGAGGCTGGAAGATCACTTCTGTCCATGGAGCTGACGGACCAGCAGGAAGAATGGGGTACAGATAGGGACCGTAAACGGCAGAAGCATGCACTTGGAATTGAAGGTGATGGCGAAGCACCTTCTGTTCTGGTCAGGTGAGAGACCACAGGAAGGCTGATGGCATGGGAGTCATGCTTGAGGTAGAGCTAGTGAGATCATAGAATCAGAGAATGGCTCCTGTTGGAAGGGACCTTAGAGGCATCTAGTTCCAAGCCCCAGTCCATGGACACCATTAGCAGGGATGCCCCCCATGAGATCAGGTAGCCCAGGGCCTCATCTCACATGCTCTTGATCAGTTCCAAGGATGGGGCATCCCTAAGGTCTCTCAGCAACCTGTTCCAGTGCCTCACCTCCCTCTGAGTGAAGAGTTTCCTCCTAAACTCTAGTCCAAATCTCCAGTCTTTTACTTTTAACCATTCCCCCTTGTCCTGTCATACGATTGAGCAAGGAGTCACTCTCCATCTTTTTAAGAAGTTCCCTTTAAGTACTGAAAGGCCACAAAGAGGTCACCCTGGAGCCTTCTCTTCTGTAGAATGATCAGCCACCAAGTATGATGGAGAGAGGCTTGGCAACTACATCAGCCAGTTCCCTCAGGACCCTGGGATGCAAGTCATCAGGCCCCCTAGACATGTACCTGTTTAGTGTCATCAGGTGGTCTTGGACCTGCTCTTCACTCTCACCAGGTTGGACTTTGCACCCCCAGCCTCCATCTACAGGTTCAGGGAAAGGAAAGACTTGGGAAGCCTGACCGGCAGGGAAGATTGAGGGAAAGACGTTGTTGAGTCCCTCAGCCTTCTTCATGTCTGTCATTACCAGTTTACCCTTCTCATCCATCACAGGGGGTACACTCTTCTTGGCTATTCTTTTCTGAGCAGTGTATCTGTAAAATCCCTTCCTATTTTTCCTTGCTTCCCTTGAGAAGATCAGTTCCATCTGTGCCTTAACTTTCCTTATTCCATCTCTGCATGTCCAAAACAGAAACATGCATGAGAAAAAAAAAATAACCCTGATTCCATATAAGCCATTCTGGGAATGAAACATGTAGGTAGGAAGCGCAGTTTTGTGGCAGTGCAGAACTGACGGGCACATTGTGCAGGATGCTCCTAAGGATCTTTTTGTTGTTTTCTCTTCTAACTACCATGCCACTACTGTCTCAAGAATAGAGGAGCCAACAGAGGTGAGACAGATACTCTGCGATCATGAATGTCATCAGAAAGCTGATCCCAACAAGATACAGGGAGGTCAAGAGCAGCCTGGACAAGAGAGATATGATATTTCGGGGTGGGAAGAAGAGCTTGGCCAGCAGAAACTTATGATTTCATAGAAGTAAGAGGGTTTATGTAATGTGGATGCTGTGGTAACACTGACTTAAACTAGTCACATATGGCCCTTACCTTACATGAGCCAGTAATTTTAATGCCTAGACCTAAATGCTACTAAAATACTCTGAAAGGAATCTTTTTTTTTTTTTTTTTTTTTTTTTTCTCTTGCTACCCTAATGCCTTCCCTTAACACTAACATGAAAATTCTCTATTTAACCCTAGACTCCTTGGCAGACCTAAAAAAAACCTAAACCGCACAGCTTGTCCATACCTTAACCACAGACACGACGCCACAAGCAGAACAACACACACTCCAACTAAAACTTTGCTTAGTCTCTAACCCAGAAAGAGTAAAACAGGTACCTAGGGGGCTAGAGAGAAGTCAGCTCTGCCTCAGGATCTCCTGCCTCTGCAGGAGGAATGTGACTGAGGCAGTGACTATGAGGTCACTTCTGTCTCTGCACTTCATAGGGCAGCAGCAGGAAAGTGTCACGGAAAGGGACTGTGAGGTCACCTGTGTCTGTAGGTAGCAGGTCACCTTTGACTTCTCAGCACTCCTACTACTCTGTTTTCTATTCTGTTCTCTAGCATTCCTAGACCTCTGTATTCAGTAAAAGATTTCAAGGATGAGAAGAGCATGTATTGAGAGGAAGGCCATGAAAAGCCAACATGAGAAGGGCCATTTTCTCCCCTGCAGGGGACTGACTCTGGGCAGGGCCCAGCTTGGGAAGCAGCCATGTGGGACATTCATCCCCAAAAGATCCTATGCCCCATGAGCACCCAATGTCCTCCTGGTTTGAAGATACTGCAGAGAAGTTCTCAGAAACACTGCCAGGCACTGCAGATTGATAGGTTCACTGAGACTGGAGGGGACCTCCAAAGCCCATCTAGCCACCCACACTAGCCAAGCATGGACACCTAAACCAGGCAGCCCAGGCCCATTTCCAGATGGGCTTTTGTATCTCCAGTGATGGAATGTATTTTCATCATAGGAGAAGAAATAATGGTGTTCATCTGTAGTTGCATTGTCTACATACTATTGTTTGTACATACTATTATTACTTACCTATTATCACCATTGTATTATTATTATTATTATTATTATTATTATTATTATTATTATTATTATTATTATTATTATTATTATTATTATTGTTGTTGTTGTTGTTGTTGTTGTTGTTATTATTATTTTCCTTTCTTATTAAACTGTCTTTATCTCAACTCACAGGCTTCACTTTCCATTTCTCTCCCCCGTCCCAGAGAGGGAGGGGGGAGGGTGAGCGAATGGCTTTGTGGTGTTTAGCTGCCGGCCGGGTTAAACCACGGCACCCATCTAGCCACCCACACTAGCCAAGCATGGACACCTAAACCAGGCAGCCCAGGCCCATTTCCAGATGGGCTTTTGTATCTCCAGTGATGGAAACTCCCGTACTTTTGGGGAAACATGATTCAGTGCATTTTGCACTTTCATTCCCATAGTTGGAAGGGGATGGATTCCCAAAGCGCGGCAAGCTGATGGGTTGTATCCTAGTTATTTGAATTTTCCTGTTCTTGAGTCTTGCAACATGAATTTGCTGCAGATGCCCCAGGATGGTAAATGGATGCTCAGGTGTCTACTAGGAACAAGAGAGTATCTTGAGTTCCCAATGGCCATTTCGGCTTTAGGTCAATTTCCGAAATTCACTGAAGAATGGGTGTTGTCTTTGAAGAGGTTTTATGTGCTGGACTGGACTGTAGTTGCAGGGATAAAGAGTGATGCCGGTAGCAGAGGTACCCGTGAAACTCCACCTGGCTCCAACTGAATCCCCCAAAGGGCTCTGGTCTCCTGCACGCCCTTTCTGATAGCTGCAATTCCAGGGAACTACTTCAAATACAACCGGGTCTCTGGTGGTTTCCCTGATTGCTTATGGTCAGACAGAAAAGTTCTGTGTCAATACCCAGTAACTTCATTAGTACTTAACTAATAGAGCAACTACTCATCACTTCAAATGATTTAATCCCTTCCATGGAATGTCACACAGTGTAGTTTCTACTATGTAGAAATGTGAATTTTCAGGATGTATTTTCATCGCAGGAGAAGAAATACTGGTGTTCATCTGTAGTTGCACTGTCCTCTCATAGTCTGTCACAATGTGCTCCCTCATCTTCCAGGCACATCCACAAGTTTTGATTAAACAGACAATGCTGAATGTAGCTTTTCCAGCTATCTGCACCTATGCACTTCCCATGGTTCTGGTTTTCCCTCCTCTTACTCTTTGATCATTCACACTGCTCTCACCAACACAGTTGCTGCTTTGAGCATGAGGTAGAAGTAGCCCAACTTGCCCATCTATCAGCAATCTGTATTTTTTTTTCTTTTAGCAAGAACCTCATACTTCATCACTGAAATAATATGGTATGGATCAATGCTAACACTATTGTTCATAATTTCATATCTATCGGTATAAAATACTTCTCGTACATTCAATCTTTTGGGAAGGTAAACCTCAGAGAAGGAATAGAAGATGAAGAGTTTTTTTATTATTTTATTTTATTTTATTTTATTTTATTTTATTTTATTTATTTTATTTTATTTTATTTTATTTTATTTATTTTATTTTATTTTAAAAATTGCTGCATGATTTCATTTTCTTTGGTTAGAAATAACAAAGACCCTTCTGTACCTGTGTACAGCCACATCTCTTAGGAAAGCAGGCAGGAGCTGCTGCAAAGGGGCTGTAACATCCAGCTGCAGCCTTGAGTGAAGTCTGGTGTAAGGAAATGAGAAGCAAGCGCCAGGTGGCCAATGAGAGAAATGGCAGGGCTCTGTGATGTTTCACCTGGCTGGCAGCCGAACACCACAGAGCTATTCGCTCACCCTCCCACCTCCTTCTCTGGAAGGAGGGAGAGAAACGAGAAAGTGAAGCCTGTGAGTGGAGATAAAGACTGTTTATTAAGACAGGAAAATAATAATAACAATAATAATAATAACAATAATGATGATAATAGTACTACTACTAATAATGTGTACAAAACAAGTGATGCACAATGCTCACTACTCGCTAACTGATGCCCAGCCTAACCCCGAGCAGTCCAGCCCTCTCACCCCTGCTAGCCAATCCCTATATATTGTTTAGCATGACGTCAGATGGTATGGAATACCCCTTTTGCTACTTTGGGTCACCTGTCCTGGGTCTGTCCTCTCCCAGCTCTTGCTGGCAGGACAGAGCAAGAAGCTGAGGCATCCTTGGCTTGGTGTAAGCATTGCTCTGCAACAATTAAACATCAGCATGTCATCAGCACTCTCCTCATGCTATGCCAAAACATAGCATTCTACCAGCTACTAGGAAGAAAATTAAATCTTTTCAAGACGAAGCAAGGACAAATGCTATAACTAGAGGTCACAAATTGCCTGAGATTAACTTCAGTTAAATTAGAAAAGTGAGATAGCCAATTTATTGCTAAGTAAATATTACCACTAGAATCAGTTTCTTCAGTGTGGCTTTCAGCTCCTGGTTCCTCATGCTATAGATGAGCGGGTTTACTGCTGGAGGTACCACTGAGTACAGGAATGACACCATCAGGTCCAAGGAAGGGGAGGAGATGGAGGGGGGCTTCAGGTAGGCAAGTATGGCAGTACTGACAAAGAGGGAGACCACGGCCAGGTGAGGGAGGCACGTGGAAAAGGCTTTGTGCTGGCCCTGCTCAGAGGGCATCCTCAGCACTGCCCTGAAGATCTGCACATAGGACAGCACAATGAAAACAAAACAACCAAATGCTAAACATGCACTCACCACCAGAAGTCTAACTTCCTTTAGGTAGTCTGAATCTGAGCAGGAGAGCTTGAGGATCTGGGGGATTTCACAGAAGAACTGGTCCACAGCATTGCCTTGGCAGAGGGGCAGGGAAAATGTGTTGGCCGTGTGCAGGACAGCATCGAGAAAGCCACTGCCCCAGGCAGCTGCTGCCATCTGGGCACAAGCTCTGCTGCCCACGAGGCTCCCATAGTGCAGAGGCTTGCAGATGGCAACGTAGCGGTCATAGGCCATGATGGTGAGAATATAAAATTCTGACGCAATCAAGAAGACAAACAGAAAGACCTGTGCAGCACAGCCTTGATAGGAGATGGCCCTGGTGTCCCAGAGGGCATTGGCCATGGCTTTGGGCAGAGTGGTGGAGATGCAGCCCAGGTCGAGGAAGGCGAGGTTGAGGAGGAAGAAGTACATGGGGGTGTGGAGGCCGTGGTGGCAGGCTACGGCGCTGAGGATGAGGCCGTTGCCCAGGAAGGCAACCAGGTAGATGCCAAGGAAGAGCGCGAAGTGCAGGAGCTGCAGCTCATGCTTGTTTGAGAATGCCAGCAGGAGGAACTCGCTCACAGAACTGATGTTGGGCATTTGGTGGTTCTGGCTATCGGTTACTGCCAAGGATGAAAAAATCTTTAATAAATAAGAAGACATACCTGAGATAAAGTTCTTACATTTCTCACATAACTGCCCTGGAAACCATTTCAGTCAGACATTTAGCAGGTCCCTTTCTTGTGTTCTTCTTGATGCTGCCTGAAGGTGTCCGGGGTCGCAAAGGACCGTGCTCTGGGCAAGGAGTCAGTCCTGTCCCACAGCCAGAGGTAAAGAGGAAGATGGGGTAATCCCATATTCAATCACCTGATAACAAAGAATTTTTCAATATTGTTGCTCCCAATTCACCCAACTGTGGAGCAGGGCTGCTGGGATTTATTTTTGTATTTTCTGTCTTTCTGCCCAATCCACTCTGTTTTGTAAGGCATAAGTACTGGGCATTTCAAGTGAAAACTTGTATATCCTCAGATAAAGAGGATGATTCCTTTGGTGCCGAGTTTCATTTAGAGATGACACACATGCTTAGGCTCATTTGGCCTGTGCTGGTATTGAGCTACAGAATTATTGCACTCGTAGGTTCATAGAGACATGGAGTCATAGACTATCCCAGCTTGCAAGGGGCCCACAAGGGTATTCAAATCCAACCCCTGAATCTGTACATGAAAACTCCAAGAGGACTCCAGTTTCAAAGTGCCCATCTCCAGACCCCTCACACTTTTCCCGTACTCCCCTTCCCCCAAGCACACCGAATGTCAGTGTGCTGCTGCCAGGGGAGGCAAGGCCAGGGAGGGACAGATGGACACTCAGCAGACCCTCCTGTGATGCAGCTCTGCCTGCAGAGGATGCAGCTCCTGCTCATTGTAAATGATGTGTGCTCTGCTTTGGCCTTCAGACACCTCCCAAAGACAGACAGTCATATCTTCTGTAGCTGCTAAAGATCAGCTAGTATAAACTACAATCCTGACAAAGAATTACCATGAAACCTGCTTCCGCTCCACTGCAGGAATCTGCAAGCACACTCTGCAGAAAAAGCCTTACCCTTCACATAAGCCAAGCCTCGATCTTCCTCTTGAATTGCCCCTCATAATGCCGTTATCTAAAGCACTGCAGAAACAGAGAGACCAACCCTGACAGATGCTATCAGGCATCGGATGTGCCAGCTGTAGAAGACCCCTCTGGCAACCCCACCTGCATGGCCCTGCTGCCAGAGCCTCACGGTGTCAAGAGCCTGCAGATGTGTCCTGCCACATGCTGCCCTCTGTTGTTGCGCTCCTCAGTGCCTCCAAGCCCTCTCTCCTTCTCTCCTCTCTGTGTGCCAGCTGCGGTCAGAGCCCCCAGCCCTGCTGCGCTGTGCAGAGGAGCTGCTCCTGGGCACAGCTGGCTCTCTGCAGCGCTTGCCAGGAGCTCCCCTTGGGCCCAGGAGCCCGGCCCAGCTCAGCAGCACAGCACCTGACCATGGCATCACTTGCTCTGTGCCCTTGGTCTCCCTCGAGGTGTCCCCAAGGCCTCAGGGCTGACAGCTCCCGAAGGCAGCAGGGTCTCTGCTGGGGTGTGGTGGTTGAAACACACTGAACGCATCACCAACTGCCCTTCTCTGAACACAGGGGAGATGACTTTTACAAGGGTGATTAGTGCTTTTAAATTGTGGTTGTCAAACATGATGTGCTTTAACCTGGCAGGCAGCTCAGCACCACATGTCTGTTATCTCACAACCACCTCCAGAAAGACAATGTGTTGAAATGCAATACAAGCTTTCAGAAGGATTTGGAACTTTTGCTTCCCTTTCTCAAATACTTCTTCTGTTGTGGTGCCCCATGTGATGATGACACCAGCATGCTGGAGTTGTTCAGGAGCTTCCCTGTGTTCTTGAGCACTCTGTGTCAGCCCATGGCAAATGGTAGGGCTGTGTTTCCAGCCCTGGCGCAGTTGATTCCAGGTGGGCAGGACACCCCTCCATGTGAAAGCAAAGTGTGGCTTGTGTACTGCTTTGAAAGGGATGGACAAAAATGTAATATTAATTGTGGCATAGCACTTGACTGCCTTTGACTCCAGTTCATACTGAATGAAGTTCTAGCATACCCGGCACAGCAGCACTCAGTGGTGGTGGGACTTGATTCAGGCCACAGAAGTCCATCGTTATCTTTGACTCACCATTAGAATTTTGCACTGTCCATATGGGACTATTAAAGGGTGAGAGAGTCTTATTGATCAGTCCTTGGCTCTCCAGTCGATGAACCAGCTCATGCAGGGGAATCAGGGAGTCTCTGTTAGTGCAATATTGCCTCGGGCGCACTGTTGTGGTAGCGATTGGCACCTGCTGCTCATTGGCCATCAACACCTCCAGAGCAGAAGGGTCCTGTGAAAGAGTGGGCAAGGTAGACGCAACTGGTTAATGTCCTCCATCTCCCAGGCAGCTATGCTAAAAACCCACCAGTGAAATTTGGATCTTGCAAGTACCCTCTTTGAAGCAGTCTATGCCAAGGATGCACAAAGGCTCCAGGCTAGTCTCAGTGGGATGCTTTTGCCACTCTTTCCCTGTTAGACTCACTTCAGCCTCCAGTACTGTTAACTGCTGGGATCCCCCTGTCACTCCAGAAATACAAATGGATTCTGGCCCTTGATGATATCACAGTACACTGTGCACCGCTGTCCACTAGAGCCTGATTCTGCTGTGGGCCTGATGTGCCAGGCCATTAAATCCTTAAAGTCGAATACACACAGTTGTCTGTTTTCTCCCCCTGGCTTGAGGCAGGATCCCTCTAGTCCTGCTCATAGTATTCATTAGTGTGTCTGGAGGACTATCTGCTGGAAACTGGAGAAACAATAATCTCAGAACACCTTTTTGCCAATATTTTTCCTTGCACTTCATGTATCTGTGCCTCTAGAATGGTGGTAGATTTTTCCATCCCTTTTTCTTATGGCTTATAGGGTTATCATCATGAGGAACTCCCTTCTGAAAGGGACAGAGGGCCCAATATGACAACTGGGCCCAACCCACAGACTTCTCATGGAGAAGAGACATTGCTAAGAAAGTTAAGTGCATGGTATGGCCCACCGGCTACTACCTGTTACTGGTCTTTCAGGCTGGAAATGAAAAGGTACCAAAGAGAAACCTGAGAGCAATCAAAAGGGACTTTAGGGCTTTGGGGACACTACTTAAAGGATCAGGGGCACAAGTTGTGTTTGCCTCTGTCCTTCCGATAAGGGGGGATCAATGCTGACAAACAGACTCATCACATTAATACATGGCTTCGGGACTGGTGCAACAGACAGAACTTTGTTTTTTTCGATCACAGGAAGGTGTATGTGACACCGGTTCCACTGGCACCAGATGGGATGCGCCTCTCTCGGAGAGGGTTAAGGATTTTGGCTCAGGAGTTGCCAGGGCTGATAGATAGGGCTTTAAACTAGAGTCGAAGGAGGAAAGGGATAAAACCAGGCATGCTGGTGATGAGCTGGTGATGGTGCACTAGAATCAGAGGGACTGTGTGCCAGTGAGGCCCTTCTGTCAGCTCCACAAGATGCTGCATGCAATGAGGTGCATTTGAAGTGCTTCTACACAGATGCATGCAGTATGAGGAATAAAATGGATGAGTTAGAAGTCTTGGCCCAGTCCCACAGCTACGACATCATTGGCATAAGCAAAACCTGGTGGGATGGGTCCTATGGCTGGTGTGCTGCAATAGATGGTTCCAGGCTCTTCAGGAGGGACAGGCAGGGCAGGCGAGGAGGTGGGTGTGGTGGTGACGTATGTGAAGGAGGGGCTGGACTGTAGGGAGTTTAAAGTTGGGGATGGCAAAGTTGAGAGCCTCTGAGTAAAGATTAAGGGATGAACAAATGGAGGGGATGTCATCGTGGGAGTCTATTACAGACCACCCAACCAGGATGATGACACCGATGAATTATTCTTTGAGGAACTAAGACATACCTTGAGATCAACTACCCTTGTCCTTATAGGGGAATTCGACTTGCCAGAAGTTAATTGGGTATATCACACAGCTGACACGAGCAGGTCCAGAAGGTTCTTAAAGCACCTAGATGATAACTTCTTGGTGCATGTGCTAAGAGAGCCAACCAGGAAAGGTGCCCTCCTTGATCTGTTGCTGGAAAACAGAGAGGGTCTTGTGGGAGACGTGGCAATTGGTGGCCGTCTTAGTCATAGAGACCATGAAGCAGTTGAGTTTAAACTTTTTTGGTGACAGAAGGAAAACTGCCACCAAAACTTCAGCCCTGGAAAGAAGACTTCAGGCTGCTCAGGGAACTAGTCAGCAAGGCCCCTGGGAAGCTGCTTTTGAAGGTGTTGGCATCCATCAGTGCTGGACAGTCTTTAAGCACTGCCTCCTAAAAGCACATGATCAGGGAATTCCAAAATATTGGAAGTCAAACAGGCAGTGCAGAAGATCAGCCTGGCTGACCAGGGATCTTCTTCTGGAGCTTAGGCATAACAAGAAATTGTATGGCTGCTGGAAGCAGGGTCAGGCAATGTGGAAGGAATCCAGGGACACTGTTCGCGTTCGTAGGGAGAAAAATTGTGTGGCCAAAGCCCAACTAGAGTTGAAGCTGGCCACATCTGTGGGAGACAATTAAAGATGTTTTTTTAGATATGTGAACAAAAAAAAGGAGAACCAAAGAAAACATAGGTCCTTTACTTGACGGGCAAGGTCTCCTCACAGACGAGGACATAGACAAAGCAG